GTGTCCCGCTCACGAGTGCTAGGATGACTGACAGGTGTGTCCCCCCTCACAAGTGCTAGGAGGACAGGTGTGTCCCGCTCACGAGTGCTAGGATGGCTGACAGGTGTGTCCCCCCTCACGAGTGCTAGGATGGCTGACAGGTGTGTCCCCCCTCACAAGTGCTAGGATGACTGACAGGTGTGTCCCCCCTCACAAGTGCTAGGATGGCAGGTGTGTCCCCCTCACAAGTGCTAGGAGGACTGACAGGTGTGTCCCACCCCTCCTAGCCTGGCCCTTCCACTCAGTGCACATTTTTACATATGGCGGCACCAGACATCAGATCAGCCATGGTGGGACGAGCATGAAGCACCCCCACCTCCGGCAGCCGGCCTTTAGTACCTCTGCACAAAGGACCCCCCCACTCCCGGGACATGCTCTTCCTGAGGACTGATGTCACTTCTCAGCCTAGCTGTTGGGGACCCAGGGAGGATGGGGGCGGGGAATGAGGACTGCGGGCCGGGTCCTTCTCGGCCAAGTCTTTGGCCTGCAGGGAAGTGAGGGGTTCTAAGTTGGGGTGCTCTGCAGTTGGGCAGAAAGAAGGGAGGAGGCGGCGACTGTGGGTCCTGAGGGTGGCCCCACACCGGGGAGCCTTGGGGCCACTCCCTTGTGTCTGTCTGTCTGTCTGTCTGGGTGAAGGGGTGCTGGAGATCCAGCCCGGGAGCCGCCTGCACACTGGCTCAGCCCTGATATCCACTGTGCCTCCCAGCCTGGGAGAGCCTGGAGTACCGCCAAGCAGCTTCGAGGTTACCCCAGATGAGGTGGGCGGCAAAGGGAGAGTGGAGGAGGGGAGGAAAAGGGAGAGGGTGAAGAGGGAAGAGAGGAGAAGAGAAGAGCAGCGGGAGGAGAGAGAAGCAGGGACAAGAAGGGAGAAGAAGGAGGGAGGAGAGGAAGATGGTGAAGGTGGCGGTGGTGGTGATGGTGATGAACCGACAAGGAAGAAGAACGCCCCCCCGAAAGAGGCACGGAGGTTGGGGGACACTGAGTGGTGCCCAAGAGGCAGCAAGCAGAGTCCAAGCTGCAGTCCCAGCTGCCGCCCTGGGGATGCAGACCCGAGCGTGGCTCCCGTCCTCCCCGCCTGGCCTCTCCAAGCAGAAGGACCGGAGGGACCCCTCGCGGCCTGCTCTGTGCGCCTCCCTCCCAGCCAGCCCCTGCATCCTCGCTGCGCGGGGGCCCCGAGGGTCTCACCAGCCCCTCTCTCCCTGCAGCTCCCCCTCACCTGCTTCCCCGGGGGAGGCCCTGAGGAGCCAGAGGCTGAGCAGCAGCATGGGCGCGGCGGGCCGGGAGCAGAACCGGGTCCAGAGCCGACGAGGGCCGTGAGGACAGAGCCACGGGTGTGAGCTGTGCGCCATGGCTCCCCGGCCCCCCGGGCACAGTGGACTGTTTTTCTGCCCTGCCTGGCTGAAAACGGAGCAATTTCACCTTTGAGCTCCGCAGCCTCCCGCTACCCGGACCTCAGTGCTGTAGAAAGGGAGGGGACAGGAAGCCAGGACATGCCTGTTAGGGGCCAGGTGGGAGAGCCGCACCCCTGGCCTGTCGCCCTGGCTCCATCCTTTCCCAGGACGCTGCCTTCCTCCCCTCCTCCCGTGGAGGATACACAAGAACAAAGCCTCCTCCGCGTGGAGTCAGCCCTTCCGCTTCACTTCAAGTCCCCCCCTGCCCTCTCTCCACCCTCACAGCCACCGGGGCTGTGACTCCACTGGGGAATGTCGTGGAGTTCAACCTGAAGTCTTTTCCCTGTCGGAAGAGCTGGACGGGGTCCCAGGAAAGGAAAGACAAACAGCCATGGAAACAAACCAAAGTGCAGGTTTAGTGTTGAAGGCGATGACACGAGGTGTCGCTTGAAGAAGCTCAGATACACACACACACACACACACACACACACACACACACACACACACACACACACACACTGATTCCCTACCCCACAACCTCCACCCTCTTCTCTGTTCAGGCAAGCATCCCACAGATGGCTGTTGCCCTTCAGTGAAAACTGGTAGCAACCCAAGCTGGGTTATCGCCACCCAGAAAGACAGTGAGTGCTTCTGGGTGTGGGGGGGGGGGCACCTGCCACACGGGGAACTTAGGTCACCTGTGAAGAGGTGGCCTGGAACCGAGGAGAGGCAAGTGTGCACCCTCTCTCCCATTCCCCAGCCTGCCTTACCCAGAGACAATCAGACCCTGGGGGGAGTCAAGTGAAGCAAGAACTCCTTTATTGATGGGCAGTAAGCCTCTTTTATACCAGAAAACCTCAGAACCCCAGGAGGGGTGAAGAAACCGACCAATCATTTTAAAGGTCACCCTATTTACAGGTTGTTTATGTCCTGACATCATCTCCTGTTTTTAGCATAAACAACTTGAGCTAACTTTCTTCCTCACCATTCGTCTCTAATCTCCACACAAACAACCCAAGCTAACTCTTCCTCTCAGCCATCCTTTATCTATTCTCTGCACAAACAGCTTAAGCTAACTTCCTCTCCACAGCATCCTTTGGATCTACTCTGTTCGGAAACAGCTTAAAGCTCAAGCTCTATTTGTCTAAATTCTTTCCCCGCCCTCTTTGTGCCCATGTATGCCCCACAGGTGTGTGGCTCAGTGATTGTGTGGCGTGCTTGCCCTTCAAGGGGGGGAGAGTGTCACCAGGAAACCATGGAATAGTCACACTATGGACTACCATGCTCAAATCAGAAAGAAAAGGTATGAACACCAGGTGTGTGACACGGATGTCATCGGGGGGTGACACCAGGTGTGTGACACAGATGTCATCTGGGGGTGACACCAGGTGTGTGACACAGATGTCATCAGGGGGTGACACCAGGTGTGTGACACAGATGTCATCTGGGGGGGTGACACCAGGTGTGTGACACAGATGTCATGGGGTGACACCAGGTGTGTGACACAGATGTCATCTGGGGGGTGACACCAGGTGTGTGACACAGATGTCATCCTGGGGGTGACACCAGGTATGTGACACAGATGTGATGGGGAGTGACACCAGGTGTGTGACACAGATGTGATGGGGAGTGACACCAGGTGTGTGACACAGATGTCATCTGGGGGGGTGACACCAGGTGTGTGACAGATGTCATCCTGAGGGTGACACCAGGTGTGTGACAGATGTCATCCTGGGGGTGACACCAGGTGTGTGACACAGATGTCATCTGGGGGTGACACCAGGTGTGTGACACAGATGTCATCTGGGGGTGAAGGCTTACGTCAGGTATTTTTGTCACGGGGATGCAGAGGTGACTAATGCACAGGTTGAGTCTTAGTGGGCGCATGTCCACAAAGGCAACCCCAGCCTCCTCCTCTTCCCGCCTAGCCAGGAAGTAAGCAGCAGCTTCCTCTACCTTTTCCCTCCGAGATGCCCCACCTCACCACTGATCCAGAAACTTCGGAGACAATGCACACGCATGTGACGCATGTGTGAGGAAGCCAGCCCTCACCTTCCACACGTGGTCCCAAGGGTGGAACTCAGGTTGTCAGGTTTGGCAGCAAGTGCCGTTTTTACCCACGGAACCAGCTCCCCTGCCCTAACATACCTCAAGAGTCTGCTTCCCTAGCAGTGGTCAAGGCTAATGTAGGACTCTGCCTCGCGCTCCAGGCATCATGTGAGGACGAGGTCCCTGCTTTCCATCCCTGCGGAGGAGGAGGAGCCTAGCTTCGGGAAGTGAGCGCCATTACAGCACCCAAGCACAAACACGCGGACTCTTCTTCCCCATCTCAACGGGTTCTGGTGAGTAACGTCTGTCCCGGAGCTGGAGGGATGGGTCTGTGGAGCAGAGCGCTTGCTGCGTTTGCAGAGGTCTCGGGTTCAGTTCCCAGAGCCCCAGCTTTAGGGAATCCAGTGCCCCCTTCTGGCCTCGGTAGATACTGCACAGAGAGAGAGAGAGAGAGAGAGGGAGGGAGGG